TACAATGTTCTTTTATATATTCAAGAATAATTTAATAATAAATAAATAAGTCTTTTTTCCTGAAAGGATTTCAACAAGATCGGCGTGATGTAGCCTTTAGTGGCTGCGTTTCGTCCGATAAGTGAGAGAACCGGTTGCCTTTTTCCTATTCCCTCCCTTTCCTGCTATGTCCCTATTCCCACCGATCCCATTTCCTCGACAATCAAGGTTGACAACGGATCCGTAACGTTCACTACTGCCTATCAAGAAGGTCGTCTGCTCGTTTGCCACCACTGACATAAAAAAAAACCTCGATAACATTCTTAAGTAAGTACCAATAAATACTTAACATAAAATAACCAATTCTTATTTGAAAGTTAATCAAAACATAAGGCCGTTTTCATGAGACTAAATAAGAATCAATAACTATTCATTGACCTGGAAATATGAGGTGTTTCGGGAAGCTGTGTCTTAGTACAGAGATGAGACATTTAATATATATAAATATATAAATGGCTAATGATGTTATGATTATGATCATTTTGTTATCAAAACTATTACTATTACTCGAACACTTACGATGTTCGATTTTTTCATATCAATATGGAAGTGAGACTCCACCGAACAAAAATATAAATAATCCGTAAAAAATATAACTCCCTTAAAGTAGGTACTTGTTTTAGTTTGAGTTCATTTTCACACGCTTTTTTATTATCCTGATGATAAAAATAATGATTTCCTTTGTGATATTAATATACATATAAGAAGAAAAAATTTAAAAAATCGAGTCTTTAAATATTTTTACTATACATTTTAACATTGTCACGGTTATTTGTAGTCTCTCAAATAGTTTTCTTCAAAGAGATGATTGTGAGTTGTCCAAAAAATCAAAGTCAGTTTTTTTTTATAAACTGCATGCATGTACAAAATGAGTTGTACTGATATTATAATGACTGAATAAACTAAGATCAATATATAAAACTCTGGGTCCATAATACATCTCTGTTCCTTTCCACAGTCTCTCGTGCACTCCGGTCTCAGGCGAAGCGTTACAATATACAATGTGTCACAAGTGTTCGTGCATGTAACCTTAAATAGTATGTATATTGTGCAAATTTAAATATCTCCAACGAAGCTTAACAGGGAAATTCACGAGGATAATATTATATTGTGCAACTAGTGCGAGAAGTTGTCGATTGCCCACGACAGAGAAGTTAAGCGACTAATAAAAAAAGAGTAATAAAAAAGATTTGTCCGCGTGAATTTATGTGCTAAGCTCCAATGGAGATATTAACATTAGAACAATAGATATGGTAACAAATGAATAAGGTTGGTTGGGTGGTTAAATATTTAGCGACATATGTATGTAGACTTCATATGTTATAAAACTGTTCTACCTGACCCTGCGGGGGAATTACATGGAATACTATAATAAGTATTATTTACATGTCTTAGTTACATTACTACAAAGATATATAAGAACTCGTTAAGTAGATTGTGTGTAACAAAAAACTAATCATAAGTAAGTGTAAAGTTATTAATAACTAATCAGGAAAGTTCATCTGTATACATCTTGAATGTGAAGTAATAATTATCTTAATATAACAAACATGTTCATCTCATCATTCCTCACTACTGACTGTTAGTTAATCAGATACAGAACTCATACACGTATTTATTACAATGTATACATTTTGATAAAAATGTTTGTTGTTTAGAAGCACTGTTTATTTTCTTAGACAGCAAGCTTCTCCAGTAGAATTACCAAATTCACTCAATTTCCAAATCTTTAGCCTCTTAACTTAAGGATAATTTTTGATTCCATATTCGAGACTTAACAAAATCACTCAATAAATATAATAACTAAATAAATCAAACCACATTTCACTACACATATAACTGAAATTCCACCAGCGCGGTCCCCGGTTCGTTCCCGTGCACGCTACACTCACTGTATCCACAGTCACACTTCAAGGCCTAACTTGTTCCGTGTGTGTTCAGAGCCTGTGTGTTCACGTCTCTTCTCTCCACCGTCTGTATGTTAACTGTCGCGTCCCTCGTGGCTCCTCTCACTGCTCCTCGCTGCGCACTCACGGACACAGACGGCGCAGATTACTTTACATTCTGTTAACAAACTGACTGAACTTTCAGACTATTTTATTATTATTTTCATGATGGGAATGATTAGAGCGTGCTTTTCTTTTTGCTTCTAATGATAAACTTTATATGACGAAATAACAATTATAGATTATTGTACCAAGAGTTTAATCATGTGAGTTACTATTAATTACTTTTGGTTACTATGAAGCGATTAAGAAAGAAAGCTAAAAAATTATTTTACTTTCCGATCGACCTGATCAGTAATTAAATTGTTATTTTTTTAAATGTGATTTTAGAATTTATATTAAAGTTAATAATTAGATAAAAATTTCATACACATTTCATTTAGGATAAATCACGATATTATTTTTCTTGTCCCTGAATGGGTATTGATAGCGCATTTGTTGCAACAAGTGGCTGTTAAATAAATTATCGAATATTATCTCCAATCACATTTCTTACTATTTAAAAGTGTGACGAAATATTTCTGACTTAAATAATGATTTCATTTCTTATAGTTTAGTCAAAATAATATCCCTCAAATATTATATAATAACATAGTTATAGGAATTCTCGAATAATAACATAGTTATAAAAAGTCTCGTTGCCGAGGGCGCGGGTTCGATCCTGGCCCGGGCAAGTACCAATGTGATTTTTCCGAATCATATGTACTTTCTAAGAATATTTAGACATCACTGATTAATGTTGATTCCCAAAAGAGGGTTGATGTCAGGCAGGCGGCCGTTCGTAAAAACAAATAGCCAAAATCATTCACAACATGTAAGGCAGACCCTGGCTATAGCTGGGAAAATTGCCAGGTAGAAGAAGATAGTTATAGGAATAGTTGGAAAGATAATTTTACACGAAATTAACTATTGTAATGTTGTTATTTGCAGGGCAAATATTTTACCATATGTTGATGTGAAAATGGCAGAATAACGAAGTTAAGAATTTAAAACAATGAAGACTAAATTTATACTCTTTGTTTTACGGGCGCATCAGAAACAAGTTAGAAATCCAGCACAAAATTTATTTAAAAACTGCCAGAATTTATGTAGCACTTTGTCCTTCGCTGCTCTGTAAAACGCCTTATTCATCAATCGTCTGCATCAATAAAAAAGTTAAAGTAGAAATAATGAAAGTTTTTAATAAAATAATACATATATTTAATTTAAAAGCTGATGCAGAATTTAGGTATATTGGTATAATAACAATTATGTTGCTTAATGACATCTAAGACTTTCGCGAGTATTCATTTAAATGAAATTAATATTATTCGGATTATTTCTCGTTTTTTATTATTTTATATCTACATACTCCCGACGTTCCGGTTACTTTGCAGCAACCGTGATCAAGAGCAGATGAGATGTCAATGTGAATTATATTTAATCAACATAATTCTTAACGTAATAGCTTGGTGAATTCAAAAAGGTTTGTTATTTCCATATTAATTGATAATCACCTGTGCCCTTTATAGACAACTGGTCAAGTGTTTATTTATTATAGAGTAGCGGGCTTATCATGTCCATGGATATTCTACTATTATTAATAAATGTAAACAATGAAATTTTTGTCCATTTGAGGATTACTTTATGTAAAACGTTAAAGTAACTTGTTCGGTTAAGCAATAAGATACCAAGTATGATTGAAATGGAAAAGGTAAAGTTAAAAATAATCCAAATAAAATGTACTTACATATTTAAAAAATACATGACTTGAAATTACTAAAAGCAAAAAAAATCTCTATGATGATAAGAAGGAAAAAGAAGTTGATTAGATATACAAGTTGAATAATTTTATACATATGTATATCGGATTTATTACAAATTTGTTGTTTTTAAAAAGAGCCTCGCTGACGTTACTAATGTTACTTCTTCTTGTACCTTCCATGATATTTTAAAATGAAACTTCAATTATTCTCAATGCTCTTGTATTTCTCGAAGGTTCTTCATAATTACATACTTCAATGATACGCACTCACTGAACTCTTAATTCTGCATTCGTGCGTCCAGACGTCATATTTATACCAATATTTAAACATAGTTCTGTTCTCTTTTTAAACAATCTTTGATTTCGTTTTACTTTTAACAATAATCATAAATACTAATGAGTTTTAATAAGAATAGATGACAGCCTCAAATAATTTTCATTTCGCATCCGTTATTAAAGTTGATAGCGCCGATATATATAATGGTAGATTAATAGACTTGTTAGGTAATAGATTAATAGAAAGCTAGGTGTTTCGGTTTACATTAAATAGTATTCAAACAGCCTTTGTCTACTAATTAATATCAATAATTTTTAAATACTCTCTTTCTCAACATTTTACTGTTACAAATAAAGCTCATTATTGAGATAATCCGAAAGTATGAAACACCCATATTTTGTTAAAATCTTTTTGTGTTTTGTTTGCAGTCATTTAGAAAGTTTTGTTACATTATGTTCATACCTATTACATATTTTCAATACTATTTTATTCCAAATTTTCAAAAATTTAATTTTAAATATTTTGTTCCACCAAATAACAACTTAATTTCATTTTATAAATTATATACAGATCAAAGCAGACATACAACTTTTTAACTGGATCGTCAATTAACGATATAAAATTATATGAAACAAAGGTTTTTAAACAACTTTATCTTAAGATAGGCGCAATAGTTTTGTAATAACTTTTCGATAAATATTTTTGATTATTCTGATTATTTTTAGAAGAAAATTAACCTTTTCAAATATTAAAATAAAATTACAAACATACAAATGTTAATTTCGATTAATTTTCTTTCATATTTTAACCTTTTTATTTTATGTTTTAATTTTTACATTTCCTAGTGTATTTGGATATTTTTTTATCCTTGGTGAATTTGTATAAGTGGTTTTAAATGAAGATCTACTCCATTACGTTTTTTTTAATATACTTTTCACTTTTGTCGTCTCTCAGGAAGCAGCGCCAGTCGATCAGCTGCTCCAACGCCACCTGCCGCGCGGCAACGCTCCTCGATCTCCTGGAAATAATTAGTATTAAATAGTGAGATTAATGAACCAGAATTACCTGTGGTTATACATATCAGAACATATTTATCTCATGAGATATACTTTCGCGGGTAGTCATTGATATGTAACTAATATTTTTTTTTACTATAATCTACTCGTGATGCACGTGAAATATCGATAGTACGTTATAAAAAAATAACTATAAACACTTAGTAAAGTAAATACAAAAATATTACTTTTCTTCCCAAAGAGGGTTGATGTCAGGCAGGCTGCCGGTCATAAAAACAGTTTGCCAACACTATTCACATCATGGAAGGCAGACCCTGGCTAAAGCTGGGAAATTGCCAGGTAGAAGAAGGTACTATTGCTAACATGTCTTTCATATTATAATATTGTTCCAGTGTGTACTAACCGCTGAGCTGGGACGTTCCTCATCCAGTAACCTCTGCCCCCTGGCCAGTACGTCCTGGAAACAGTCGTCGCGCGCCTCTTTCTCCGCCCTCAGCTGCTGCTGAGCCTGCGGCAGCTGGGGATGACATCACGCTGCTGAGATGTAGTGAATAGATTATAGTAACTAAACATACTTATTAACCATTATATACTACGTAAGCTAATTTTGTACCTATTTAATGTTCGATCTATTAGAAATAAAGACAGTATCTATTCAACAGTCTCGGCTTTCATTCCTCTCTCAGGGCACCACATTACATGGCGACCCTGCCTAAAGTAGAATCACGCGCGCGAGTATTCTGACACCGTCCGCCGCCGCGTCGCCGACCGATTTTACATATATGGACAGTGATTTATAAACAACGTCTTCTCGTCACAATGCGATCGTCGGATAATAAAACGAATTCTATTAAAACTTTTAAAAACAGTTTTTAAAACTATTAAAAACAACGACGCTAGTGTGGTAAAAGTGTGCTTTGAAAATGGGGAAACAGCAGTCTAAAGAAGAGAACATCGTGATAGCACAAAATGCAGCCGGGGGCACAAATGATGCACCAATCGAGGAGTTCCGACTTCATATGAAAACATCGAGCGTCCTGTTATGCGTGGTGGTACTTTGCCTAGTTTTGGGAGACCTGTATGGAGTATTCCGGATGTATCGGAAATGTCATATGAGATGGATACGGCAGGAATTTGAGTTGAAGGCGAGTGGCAGCAGGGTGCGACGACTCTCCTTTCGACGGCGCCAGGGTTACGATGATAGCAAAGTGTAAAAGTGTTAAAAAGCGTATAAAGTGGTATGAGGTAAAGTGCGATTACATAAATATGTGTACTTCTTTTCTATTAAATATGTTTATGGACATTATTTAGTGGACTGTAGCCTTATTTACCAACGTATAATCAATATTGTTATAAAAAAAAACTTATTTGTTAAAAAAATATATATTATCTAAATATATTAACTTAATTAAATACATATTATGTAAAACTAAATGTATGTAACTAAATACACGATGTATTATTGTGTATTATTATAAATGTTACAATTCTTAATAATATGCAGAGGATCCAGGGTTTAAAACAGGTATGTTAATATTCTATTATGCATATTAAGTATTTTTAAACTTGATGGGAACATTTTTAAAGGAATTATATGAAGATTTATTAGTAGTGAGACAGTATTTAATTAAAATAGGACCCGCTAGACGACAGGGTAAAATATTGCTGACTAAGTTAGACGAAGCTAAATGTATTATTGCACAATATAATGATTATATAGAAGGTATTGAAGTGAAAAGCATTGAAAAGGACGAGCTTCTTATTTTTGAAAAATATCGTACGGATATTAAAAAATTGTTTTATGAAATTACTGAGTTGTGTCGAATTTCAGACGGTTCTAGTATTTTTTCAACAATGGATAAATTTGACCTGAAGGTGGCTTTGAGTTTATTGCCAGTGATGAATGATCAGCTTTCTAATTTACGACAACTTATCGATGGTATTGAATATTATAGTTCGGTTCTCAATACTGAGTCACAGACGTATTTAATATCTTTTATTTGAAAAGCAGATTGTCACAGTCTGCCAAGCTAAAATTAGCTTACGTAGTATATAATGGTTAATAAGTATGTTTAGTTACTATAATCTATTCACTACATCTCATGAGTGAATAGATTATAGTAACTAGTGACTAGATTATAGGAGGGATGACGACCACGAGATGACGTCACGGAGCTGGGGAACGATATTCATGATATATATCTTATATATAAAATTCTCGTGTCACAATGTTCGTTTCCGTACTCCTCCGAAACGGCTTGACCGATTCTCATGAAATTTTGTAAGCATATTGAGTAGGTCTGAGGCTCTGAGAATCGGCCAATACCTATTTTTCATAACCTAAGTAATAGGGGCTGTTCACCCCTAAATTTTGTATTGATTTGGACGAAAGGTCTTGTTTTTATTTTTTTTATCAAGTGTCATAAGAAAATACATAAAATCCTAAATATTTTTTTTATCACCAACCCCTACTTTTGATATGACAAAACAACGTTTGCGGGGCAGATAGTATATATTAAATAATAAATAATCATAACTAAGACAACCATTAAATTAGTGCTTAATATAGAAAAATATCTCTTAATTAAACGTTATTTCATTTAATATTTGTTACAAGTGCGATGTCGAACTGTATATTCATAAATGTTTTTGTTATAAGTGTAATTCTCATATAAGTGATAATAATGTCTTAATGAAAATAAAATATCATAAAGGATACATTATTTATAGGCGTAAAATCGTTAATAATTAATTAGTATATAAAGAAAAAATATATATAAATTAGATAGATTAATCAAATGTAGCAATATATTAAAACACTATCAGATCATAAAGGTTTTGTATAATAGTGAAATCCCACAGTAATACCTCGGATAGGAAGGTCTGTAATTCCAGATGTTGGTGCAGCAGTTTCCTCCTAAGATCTGCAGCTCAGCGCTATCTGCTGGGAGTTACCGCCGGGGCATAACCGCTGGATGCGAGATCCTTCCTCCTGGAGCACCTGGAAATAGATTTAATATCACTACAACTATCTCTTCTACCTGGCAACTTCTCAGCTTTAGCCAGGGTCTACCTTACATGTTGTGAATAGTTTTGGCTAATTGTTTTTACGACAGGCCGCCTGCCTGACATCAACCCTCTTTGGGAATGCATTAATCAGTGATGTCTAAATATTCTTAGAAAGTACATATGACTCGGAAAAATCACATTGGTACTTGCCTGGGCCAGGAAGTATATTACTACAACTATAAAATACTGCAAAAATCAGTTAAAATCTTATTTAGGCAGAATTAGGCTACATTAAATGAGGAGCTATGATATTATGAAATAGATTTTGACAAGTATTCATTTAAATGAAACTAATATTTATCATATCGTCTGCCCGTGATCATGATACTGTAAAGTAAACGAAACGTCGGAAATAATAATTTTTATCAAAACGTTCATCCAAAAAATATTAGTTTCTGATTAAAATCTTAGATTTCATTATAAGTCAATCTTAATAGTTACTCTGCGTTTATGAGTTTGCATTTCTTATCACTGTTTTGTACACAATTATTGTTGCTTTGAGGGTGTATATTTTAAATTTCATGTTTAAAGCAAAATTTATTGTAAGAATATGTTAAACTACCTAGTGATACATTTATTATGATTGTCGAAGTTTTAATTTAAAATACATAATATGTTTATCGTCATAATTTTCTCAAGTAAGTGAAATGTAATTTCTTTTTGAGAAAAATAAAGTATCTTTAACCATAATAATTGTTTTGTAGTATGTACCTGCATCTGCGCGTCTATAGCGACCATATCGTTCTCGGCTGCGTCGTGGTCCCTCAAGAGGGCGGTGGTCGCGCGACCCGGCCCGCGCCAGCAGGTCCCCGGCGTCGCGGTGGAAGCGGTGTATCTCGCCAGCAGCAGCCAGGCGCTGGCTGCGGGACTGGATCTGTTCTATGCTGACCAGACGCTGCCAGGACTCGCTGGAATGTATGAATTGTATTTGAATTGTGGATTATGTAAATTAGATCTTATAAATATATTATTAAAATTCATTTTGCCTTGTTTTAAACGACATGTGGAATTTTTTAATTAGATTCCATGTGTATGTAATTAAGTCTCATTTTTCTTTTCAAATTAAATTCTTTATCTAGTCATTAAGTCTCATTTTAACTTGTACAAATTAATTTGCATTTGTGGAATGTCTTATTTAGATTCTATACCTGTAGGTATGGTTAAAGCTAATTTTGTTTGGTATAAGTTTATGTGGACATATTGGATATCTGAATTAGATCCTATATGTTATGTAATTAAGGGTCATTTCCCAAGTTCTCCTCACCCGAGTACTTCCTGTCTCTTTTCAATGTCAGCGTTGTATGGGCTGTCTGAGGCGACCAGCTTCTTGGCGAGCTCCTCACACTGGTTGAACCTCTCCGCCCCACTCTCTACACGGTGACGGAGCTCTTCGAACTTGGACCTAAGAATCTGTGGTTGGGAAATATGATGTCTTAGATTATAGATATAATTAAATGGTTTTGGAGGATATTTTAATTAAGCTGTAAAACTTTAGGTATATTTAATATTATGACATGCTAATTGTTTGATCTAATGGTTGAACTCACACACACACACACACACACAATTCACTTCCAAAAATGTTGTGTATACATACGGGGTTATATAATTAAAACCACTCCGTACACTGATCTAGTGAAAGTATATTTGTGATCAACTCTAACAATAGTAAAAAACAACAATGATCTTAGCTAATCGGTTAGTACACTTAATACCGTGATCTATCTCGCATGTAACGCCATCTAGTTCTCACTTAGGTGAACTATTTATTTTTATTGATTTATTGCGTTGAACACTAATCTTTGCACATCCTTCTGAGATACAAGAAATAAAAAAAAACACTAAATTACTTACTAAATGCTCAAATTGACTTAAATTTCAACGAAATTTAGCATTCATTCGTTAGTTTCTAAAAATAGGATTGCTGAACGGATTTCCGTGAAGTTTCAAAGCTTAGTATTTGAAGATATAACTGAATAATGTCTCCATCACCAAGTGTGATGGCTGGAGTACCCTCTCATCATCATCATCATCATCATCATCTACATATCCTTCCTCACCAGTAAGTGTTCATAGTCCTGTCCGTAGTCTTCACTGGAGGCGGCTGCTTGCTGCTCCGCAACCCATTCCTCCAGCTCAGCGCTCTCAGCCAGATATTCATGTCTAAGGATAGACACACATATTTTTAGCGAATATCCTATTTATATATTCCTTTAACACACATATACTAGTCTTTGTCAGCAACTTCTTCATAATCAACTTCAGGAATAGAAAGGGGTTACTGTGTAACGCTTAAGAAGCAGTAAATAACAAGTCTTTGTTAAGTTGTTATTTATTTAAATTTCTACCTCGCTTAATGGAAAGTATGCTACGTCAGTCTCCTGTTTCTAAACTACCTCGAAATAAATTTACAAATTCTTATAGCCCTTCTTGACTATAAGTAGTGCGACTAATATGATATGTATATATATATATAGTATCTCTCACCTGCACACACTCTCCATGAGCGCGGCCTGCCTGCTCGCTGCCAGTCTCTGCAGCCTAGCCAGACTGCCAGCCAGCTGGTCATGTCTGGTGACCAGCGCAGCTCCCTCAGGATGACCACCGGAAGCCATGGATTGCGCCACGTGACCCATTTCCGCTATGATCGCCGCGTATGTGTCTAACTCGAGTTCTACGGCCTGTTGGTAGGTTAAAGAGGAATTGTAAGATAATGCTGAATATACCTACTCTGTATTAAATAATGACAACTTCTTCTGATTTAAGTCCATATATATATGTTAGATGCCATACTCCTGCCAAACGGCTTAACCGATTTTTATGAAACTTAATATGCATATTCAATAATTTTAACAATTGGCTACTATCTATATTTCATACCCCTAAGTATAAGGGCGGCCCACTTTTAACACCTTATTTAATTTTTTTGGACAACCTTTTCATAATGTGGCATTATAAAATACATACAACCCTAAATTATCACTCTTCTATCGCCAACCCCTATTTTTAATATATGTTTTATAAATATTTGATCCTACTCAATAATTGATAAATTTTCTACACATTTCATACAAAAATTGTGTGATATGACGAAAATCTAATTCTTAGCTATGTATATATGTGTATATTACCTTTTGCCGTGTGAGTAGTTGCGTCGCTCTATGCATATCATTGCCGACGTCACCGGAAGCCAGTGCGGCGGCCTTGTCAGCCAGACAGGAGTCGACTTCCGCTGCGTCATGCAGGAACTACTGGGCCTTGAGCGCCGCCTCCAGTCGGGCCGCGCGCTCCTCCGCCGCTGATGACACAGAGGAGAACGCCTCTTCAAGCTCCAGGCACAGCTGCATGATCTGAAATGTGATCGTTATAGTTTAGTGGGTGGAGTAGGGAAATAAATTAGGGGTTGTCCATTAATCACGTGATCTTTTTTTAGCATTTTTTAACCCCCCCGCCCCCATTGGTGATACGTAGTGAGGTTTAAGACCACCCCCCCTCCCCCCATCACGTGTATTTTTAGTACCTACAACGAATCTTAAAATTTTCTGAATATTATCTTAATTTAAATACAGGTATAAACTATAATCTTATTTTATTCTGAAATTAAGGACCATAATAAAAATGTCTACACCAGGTTGCAAGTTTTTTTTAATTGCCATAACAATAATAATAAACGAAGAGTGTAATCATAGGAATATCTCCCGTTGCCTGGACGGCGAGTCGAGGACACTACACGCCGCGCCGTGCCGCTTAATATTTGTTTAAAAATCGCGCGTTAGACGAAAAAATAAATACACGAGATATCTTACTACACCCCCCCCCCTCCCCCTTGTGATATTTTCGTGATTTTATCAAACCCCTCCCCCCCCTTTCAAGCCTCACGTGATTAATGGACAGCCCCTTATATGTATATGCATAAACTAATCTTCTTCTTCCTGGCAATTTCCCAGCTTTTAACCAGGGTCTGCCTAAGATGTGTGAATAGTTTTGGCTAATTGTTTTTACGACAGGCCGCCTGACATCAACCCTCTTTGGGAATGCATTAATCAGTGATGTCTAAATACTCTTATAAAGTACATATGACTCGGAAAAATCACATTGGTATTTGCCAGGACTGAACCCGCGCCCTCATGCATGAGATGCGGGACTTTTAACCACTAGGCCACAACTGACTGAGGAAATGAATTATATGAATGAATTATACATATGTATATACATAAATTAATATAATACAAATTGGTGTTTCAGTTAATGTCGCGTTCACACTGTTTACTTTGCTGTAAGCAACAGTACTATGCACATGTGCTTGGAATCTACTCTCAATCTCTCTCCTACTTTCTATATTTGTATATCTTTTTATCCCTACGTTGAACCTTTAACGCAACCTTGTTTGTAGTCGCATAAGAAATTTCACTTCAAGAATTCACTCAGAAAATATAAAAAAAATCAATTATTAGCCGAACTTTGTCCAAGAATAATTTAATTATGCATGCTGTATATAATATTTCAGATGAACCAAGGTATGGTGTGGAGATCCAGAATTAATTTAACTATCATAATATGACGTTGGTAGGATGGACATTTTTTACTATGCGTCAGTTCTGCACTGTCGAACGGACGCGTGTTTCTCTCTTAGAAATAAATACCTACATATAATCACTACAAATACAATGGGACATATAACTATATAACACTACTATGTAATAGGTACATGAGAATGTGAGTTATATATATATATATATATATAGTCCACCTTCCCCGCCTGTAGATGCGTGTCCAGCTCCTTGCCCCGCTGGAGCACCCTCTCCACGACAGGCCTCCGCCCCTCAAGCTCCGCCCTCAGCTTGGCGTGTGTCTTCTGCGCGTGGCAGATGAAGCGGGGGCGTGGCGCTCCGACACCCAAGCTAGCTCTCCTGAAACCTCGGCAGCGAGCTTGTGTAGTCTGTGGAGGATTTGGATCAATAAAATTAGTCCTCAAATTGATTATGTACTATTACTATCCTACTAATATTATAATTGCGAAAGCTGGTGAGTGTATGTATTTATTTATTTATTTAGGCACACAAACAGAATATAAGCCGGATTAAATATGAGTTACAGTATAAAACTATTTTTACCTTGATTATATTCTTAAGTATGTGTACACGGCATAATCATTACAAAAACAATATTTTTGTCGGGTGCTACATTATTTAGGTACAATTTAAGACTAACGAATAAACAGGAAAATGTATGTTTGTTACTTGATTTTGATAAAATTTTGTGTACAAATTATAAATTAATTATAATATTAAATATTTTGGTAAAACCGCGGGGCGCAGCTAATATGATATAAATTATAAAACAGTTGCTTTTCTTGTCCCTATATCCGTATGCATTCTTAATAACTTAAAACTACGCAGTGGATTTTGGTGCAGTTTTTTTTGAAAAATAGATTGTTTGAAGAGGAAGGTTTGTATGTGTAATGATATCCATAAATAAGTGGAGAATCCTTATCCAGTTAAATAACTTTAATACATTTTTGATTTAAAATAGATCTATGACCCTTTACAGTAAATATTTTAATCTTTATACCCGTCCCGGCTCAATTGTATATATGTATTACATACATATAAATTGTTCCGTCAACCGTTATAAGCAAGAGCCAGGGCCAGCCAGGCATTCGTTGATTTACAAAAGCTGAAAGTTTTTCCATAGATGTACCCAATACAGGTAGTCACGATCCCCAACTATGAAATTTGGGTCGCGGTGGCTTTGGCAGGTAACACGTTCTAAAGGTGTATAAAATTTTCTTTCACTTTCCTCTTAGTACAAAATTCAGTTTTGATATATTTTCATCGTAATAATATTAGAAATCACGCTGTAAATTGCCCGGCACTTAGTAAGGTGGATAACCCAGCCAGGCACCCCTAAATTATAAGTAATTTTATTTGTACTTTCGTTATAGTACATATACAGGGTGACTGGTGAATTACTATCAATATTTAAGGAGCATACTCGGTACATGATTCTCATTCGAATTATGTAAAAAAAATAGGTACTTAATTTTTGACCAAATTTCCGTAAAAATAAGTAAAGTATGTACACGTTCCAAGTGTTCCAAGTGTGGATGCGTGCGGAAGCGTGCTGATACAACACTACGCCGCCGCCGCGTCTGTGTGTGTGTGTGTGTGTGTGTATACCTAATCTGTAGGGTGTTCATACGATGCGTAATTAATTACATAACTTTTGGTTAACTTTACTTAGAAGTTTATTAATATTTATGTTATATTAATTTTTATTTTGTCATATATGATCGCCAAATATCACGTCCTCAAATATCGATAGTAATTCACCAGTCACCCTGTATAAACTGATTTTTATGTATGTTACTGAGGAAAGTATTAAATTATATTTACTCAGTAGCCAGGCAGTTTCGATGGTGCTTTTACCTGGCCAGGCACACTGAAAGTCTTCTGTAAGTGCGACAGCGAGGAACATATATCTGAGCGAGTGTGAGTGAGTTAGTGCTCTCGGTCTATTGCGAGCTTCTACTGCGCATCAGCTGTCATTTGGCAATGTCTTTTGTGTGAAGTATTTTATAATTTAACAAATTAATCGTTACATAAAATTATTGAAGAAAGAAGTAATAATTTTAGACAAATTATGCAGAAAAAATTTCTTTTCAATAAGTTATTACATCAAAAATCAAACAGTTTAATTAAAACTGTTTTGAAAAATTCTACATTTCAATGTTTATTCAAATTAAAATCACAATATGAAAAAAAAAATTATGTATTATGGGAGGGCATAAGTAATTTGTCAATAAGAAATTTAACGAAAAAGATATTTTTATTGTGCTTATTATTACTTTTACTTTTTCTAATATCTAGTATATAATATCAGCAACGAATTATATTTAGAACCATCTTTTCACTCAATGACTGATCTATATAACACATAAAAAAAGTATTGTTCAGAAACCGAAAAGCCTACCGTCTGTACGTTTACATTTGAAAAAGCATTTAACGAGAAAAATTTGTCCTAAGTAACTAAATTTGTCTTCTAAGTAACTAAATACCTATAAAATGTAAACATGAACATATCTATTCGTAACTTCATCGAGGATATGTTCCTTCCTCTCGCACTTACGGAAGACTTTCAGTGTGCCTGGCCAGGTAAAAGCACTATCGAAACTGCCTGGCTACTGAGTAAATATAATTTAATACTTTCCTCAGTAACATACAAAAAAAATCAGCTTATATATGTACTATAACGAAAGTACAAATAAAATTACTTATAATTTAGGGGTGCCTGGATGGGTTTCCCACCTTACTAAGTACCGGGGAAATTACAGCGTGATTTCTAATATTATTACGATGAAAATATATCAAAACTGAATTTTGTACTAAGAGGAAAGTGAAAGAAAATTTTATACACCTTTAGAACGTGTTACCTGCCAAAGCCACCGCGACCCAAATTTCATAGTTGGGGATCGTGACTACCTATATTGGGTACATCTATAGAAAAACTTTCAGCTTTTGTAAATTAACGAATGCCTGGCTGGCCCTGGCTCTTGGACTATTAATCATTTGTTATATAATATTGTATTGAATCATATTTTGTTTTAGTTATATCGTATACTGACTGTAGACTAGTT